TCTCTCTCTCTCTCTCTCTCTCTCTCTCTCTCTCTCTCTCTCTCTCTCCCCCCTTTTTTTTGTCAAAAACTATATATTACCCCCGTTCAATTTGTCTTTGACCACACAACATATATAAAACATCTCTTAGAAAAGATACAAAAGATCTCAGGTATGTTTGGTTTGGTTGAGTAGATGTGTGTGAGAGAAAAAATGATTAATTAATATGTAAGAGATAGAAAGTGCTTTTGAAAATTGTTCTGAAAAAATTACAAACCAAACAAGTTTTTAAAAAAAAAATTTCCAAAATCACTCTACGAAGCCAAACCAAACATACCCCTCATATTTTAAATCTCTGTTATATATATATATATATATAATTGCATTTCTTTATGCAGTTATGAGTCGCACTCCAATTAGTGGACAACTTTGTGCTTAATAAGCATTTTATACATATATTATTATTTGGTTGATTTCTACCAAACTTACACTTCATCCAAACTACTCTTTCATATTATTTTCAAAATGTAAAAAGTGGCTAATAAACTTTTATTTTATCATTCCTTTAAAATATTTTACTTTGGATAGTTAATTAGAAAAAAAAAAAAAATGGTCATGTATGTCTGGCTGGAGGTAAAATTTATCTATATGGACTTATTTTTTTTTATGAATAATGCTATACTTTTCATATTTTTATATTTCCTCTACTCCATTTTGTATGTTCATGGAGATTTCAACATTTGAAGGGGACGTGCAATAAATGCACTCACTCTATTTGGTCTTTGAGTTTTCAAATAAAGTTTTTTAAGCCTTTTATTTTGTGTATTCGTGTATCTTTAGTGAATTTTTATATTTAGATACACCTAACTTAAATGTATTTAAAAAGTATATACTGGTAAAGAAATCTTAAAAATTTCAGTAAATATAAAAAAAAATTAAAAATTTAGTATATTTTCATATATTTTTTGTATTATTGATTTTTTTAAGATTTTTCTACAAATATTTTACTTTTTAAATTTTTAATAAAAAAATTAAAAATTAACTAAACTACTCACCGCAATTAAAATTTTCCCATATATCTACATGGGTGTTGGCGCTTTCAGATGTACCTACCCAGATAGAAAATTTGTGCACATGAAAAGCATTTGTTTGAGCAGTTGAGCTTTGATTCTTAGATTTGGCTTCTTCCTCTTCCTCCCTTTTCTTCCTTCAATTTGATTCTCTTCCTACTCCTTCAATTTGACTCTCTTTAAAAGCAGTGACAGCATACATATATGTATATATACTCAAGATAGTCCACAAGACCAGAGTCATCCCAGCTATGGCTTCCACCCATTTCCTCTGCAGTCACCACTTCTACACTTGTTCCAATTCCAAAAACCACCACACCCATTTTCTCAGAAAAGCTACTCTATCTTCTTCTTCTTCTTCTTCTTCTTATACTTCTTCATACAGGCCACATGGGTCATCTTTATCTCACAAGAAATTCCAATTTCAAAGAACCCAATTTGTCAGAGCAGTGTCTTCTGATTCCAAATCTGGGAAAACACAAGCCGAGGTTTTAATTCTCTTTCTCTTTCTCTTTCCTTGTGTTATTTATCGTTTAAATTGAAAATTTTATCTTTCACTTTGCTTATTTTATTTGTTGTGTGTGGGTATTTTGTTGTATCTGTTAGATAGTGTATGATATTGATGAGAAGTTGAATAAATTAGCTGATGAGGTGGATGATAATGCTGGACTTTCAAGGCTCACACTATTTTCACCTTGCAAGGTAAGATAATCAACATCTATTGCTTCGAATATTAAACTTTGATTATACTTTTGTGTGTGTGTGTGTGTGTGTGTGGTGTTTTTTAATTTGTGTGGAATATGATATCCTGTGAGGTGCAGATAAATGTCTTTCTGAGAATAACTGGCAAGAGGGAAGATGGGTTTCATGACTTGGCATCACTCTTTCATGTAAGTTCTTCCAATTGTAGTTTTCAGCTTCAAATTCTTCTTCCAAGTACCATTATCAAATTTATGGTAATTTTCATATTGTGGCCTCCTTTGGGAACTTGCCTACTTTAGTTGACTTTTTGGCTATTTTATGAGATGAAAAAAAGTTGTGTTTGGGATGACAAGTGATTGATTGATATGGATGTGACATTTTGGCCTCGTTTGGGAAGTTGGCTATTTTAGTAGGCTTATTTTTTAGCTATTTTAGTAGGCTAAAATATTTGTATTTGGGAAGAGAGTTGGATTTTTTTTTTGCAGTTGGATGTGATGTTTGTGAGAGAAAAAGTGAAATGGTTATGGGTTTGATATGATATTTTCTCTTATTATTGGCTATTTTAGCATATTTTGTCTTTTTTGTGAATTTTAGCCAAAAAAAGTCAATTTTTGGCTTCCCAAACATCCCATTTGCCTTATTGGTTATTTTAGCCTTTTTTGTCTTTATTGATTACTTTAGCCAAAATCGCTCATGCCAAACATATGCATCCAAAATTTTAGATAAAATGCTTCCTAACTTCTGCCGCTTTGGGTCATGGTCAAGATCACATTAGGTCATAACCAAAAGTAGCACAAAAGTCTCATAACCAAGACCAATTTGGTTCATAACCAACAACACCACAAAGTCTGGTAACCAAGGCCCACTTTGACTCATAACTAACCACCACTAAACCTTATTACCATACCAAGTTCATAACCAACCACCACAAGTAACATATGATTCATAACCAAGACCATATGGCTTTGTAACTACGGCATATGATACATATGTTTTAAGGATGTAAATACTATAACCCATATGTTTGTTACTCATGATGAATTTTTTAATCAGTGATCCAGTATTATCTTTATTATTGAATTTACTTGGTGTTTTTAATTTATATCTTATTGTCTTCAAATGATACTATTGTAACCCTTTGCACCTCCAGGTAATCAGCCTAGGAGACAGGATTAAGTTCTCTTTGTCCCCTTCAAAATCTAAGGATCGGTTGTCAACCAATGTGCCTGGAGTTCCCATTGATGATAGAAATTTGGTACAGGCATTAACTTGCTTAGTTGAATGCTATTTGTTGTTTTATTTATGTTCTTTTTGTTATTTGGTTCATACTTTTGTAACATATGTATCTTGCAGATCGTCAAGGCCCTTAATCTTTACAGAAAAAAGACTGGAGCTGACAACTTCTTCTGGGTAAAACCTAAGAATATTATAGATAAATTTTTTAATCAAGAGAACATTATATATTGGACTTGGTTTTTTGTTTATTCTCCATCTAAATATGTGGACAGATTCATCTTGAAAAAAAGGTTCCTACTGGTGCTGGACTTGGTGGTGGAAGCAGCAATGCAGCAACTGCTCTATGGGCTGCAAATCAGTTCAGTGGTTGTCTTGCTACAGAAAAGGAACTCCAAGAATGGTCGAGTGAGATTGGCTCGGATGTTCCGTTCTTTTTCTCCCAGGGAGCAGCCTATTGCACCGGTAGAGGTGAGGTATGGCTTAAATCTTAGTACACAAATGCAGCTCAAAATTGTCAGGCCTTGACTTTTGTTCTCATTGCTTGCTATCTGTACATATCTATTAGTATATCAGCCTAACTTGCTTGAGATCTTTCTTAAAATCATTACTTTGGAGTTGACTAGCATTCACCTGATTTGTTCAAGGCTGTCTATCAGTTGGACTGCTAACATTTGTTCAGTTCAGCATAAGTATATGAAGAAGGGGTGTATTTCTTGAATGCCTTATTGTAGACCTCTACATCTTCTAACCATTCTTTAATGCTTTAAATAACAATCGTCTTTTCTCTAAGTTCTATAAGACTGCATCTTTTCCCTTTTATTGATGCTAAAATGGGTATGGGATACTGTGCTTTGATTCTTTCATGAGTGGACATATGGGTCTGTTTCTCAGTGTCAGTAGGACGTAAGATGTTCTTCCTAAGGGTTAGCTAGTGTGGTAATTATGCAGTGTAGGAAAATATTGGTTTATAACTGAGAGCATTGGGGGTAATACCTATATTATCTGGAATGGGGATCATTCCAATACGAGAAATGGGAATGAGAACATGATATGCCACATGCTTTAAAATGTGGTATGATAAGGGTAGAGTTGTATAGATTACACTACTAGAATTTCAAAGACTCCTAATTCCTACATAAGATGGCAATTATAATTTAATAGTTAGATGTGCAATAGAATATAGTGTCAAACACAATTCTAGAAGCATTATGGCCCATTTGTTTTATATTTGGTCATGCAAGAACTCTATTTTTTTAGATATTGTTCATTATATTTGATTTTTTTCCTCCTATAGGAAACTTTTAAGCTAATATATAGGAAACATTTTGGCATCGCTTTGGATCACTAAATTTTTGGTTTCGGAATGAAAGTGTACCATGTTTTAGAATGTGCTTTCCAAAATGTAAATCACTATGGTATTAGCATTTTCAAGTAACACTAGGTGATATTGAAATAATGCAGCCAAAGAACAAAGGAAAAGAAGTCTGATTGCTAATTGATTCCTTATTTCTTTCACTGTAATGGTGGTTGGTGCACTTAGGGGGCAAGGAAGCACAGGTGCAATCTTCATAAGATACCATTGCTGCTTACGATATTTCTAAATTAAAATAGTTGAGCAACCAAGAGGATGTATTCAGGTTGAGCTAAGCTTTTGTGAGCGAGGTAAGATGGTTGGTAAGAAATACAAGTATGGAGAGATATGAGATACCCTTTGACAAGTATGGTTTTGTCATGTACTTACTTGCTGCAGATGTGGAGCCAACATCACTGAATCGATGTTTTGGAACAATGAAATGAAAAGAGAAGGATACTGGTCGGGGATAGATAGATTGAAATTCTGCTATTACAAGAAACAAAGAAGGAGATTATCACTAGCATAGTGTTTGGTTCGTTGGAATGAAGGTGGAATGGAATGATCATTCCATTAGAATATCCATTTTAGTTTGGTTCACTAAAAAAAGATGAAAAATATATTGCAAATGGAATTATTATTAACCATTATAAGGGAATGGTCATTCCACATGGAGACTAAGGAATAGTGATTATTTCACTCTATTCTACTTTCATTCCACTTAACCAAACTCAACATTAGGGTTTGATAAGGGCACTGTAGCCATTCAAGAATAGTGATTTTGCTGCTGTGGGTGCAGAAGGTTCTGCAGGGGGTTCACTGTGTATCTGGAGATGTGATTCTTTTTAGGTACAAGACTGTATCAAGAGTAAGCATTACATTGTGTACAAAGGCAAATTGTCCAATGATTTTGAATGCATCATATGATGTTATTATGTCAAAAAAGCATGGAGTAATTGGTCCGTCTTCTTGTGTTGGTGTGGTATGGAGTGGGTAAGTGAAGGATTTGTTTGAATGGTGGTTTCATTTCAGAGTTTAAAATATGAGGAAGCTATTCCTATGGCTGTAATCTGGATGCTGTGGAAAACTAGGAATGACATTGCATATAATAATAAAGGCAAATTGTCCAATGATTTGAATGCATCATATGTTGTTATTATGTCGAAAAAGCATGAAGTAATTGGTCCGTCTGCTTGGGTTGGTGTGGTATGGAGTGGATAAGTGAAGGATTTGTTTGAATGATGGTTTCATTTCAGATTTTAAAATATCAGGAAGCTATTCTATGGCTGTAATCTGGATGTTCTGGAAAACTAGGAATGACATTGCATTTAATAATAAAGTCCCTATCAGGGATGATGTTTTGGAGCTCATCAGAGTAAGAGAGTTACTTTGTCAGATTGCTAATGATATTTAAGAAAAAAAGGATGAAATTTGAAAAAAGTTCACCAAAGAAAAAGAAAAAGAAAAAATGAAAGACAAGAAAAAGGCAACAAATTCCCAGAAAATTGGCGCTCTTTTTTTTTTTTTTGGGTGTCTTTAGTGGACTTTTTAAAAATTCAATCCAAGTTTTTTAAAATTCTTTTAGGGCCCTGAAAAATTACAAATTTTTGATAAAATTTTAAAAAGTTGACTAAAGATGAAAATTTGAAAAAAGGCAACCCAAAAAGGCATCTGCCAAACCTAGAGATTTTGGTCGGTTGGATATATGAGTTGGCATATTTGATTTTGATTAATCATTTATGAAAACAGGGAAGTAGTATTGCAAAATGGCCCATGGGGCTTCTTTTTTTTTCTTCTTAATTCTTTATGCTTCCGGGGATTTGCTTGTTCTTCTTTCATGTTGTCCTAGATTGGCAAATGAGAAGGCAGATATCCTAGCTGGAAGTGCTGATAAAAACTCTGGAAAACTGTTTTAATTTGGGAATCTCACTATCATGTTATAGCCTTCATTGTTTACCCTTGCCTCTACAGGCTTATGCCTTTCTATTTGCCTTTAAGAGACACCTCTGTTGTTGTTGGTATTCATTAGAACATTACATGTTTGGCTTTTAAATTATTTTGGTTTATTTGCTAGGTAAATGTTTGGACCTCCTCTCCTCAATCTAAATAGTTCATACAAATCTTTCTATTATGAACCGATACATTTATTTTATGGTTGTAAGTTCTCATATTTGTAACTCAATTACAAATTAGATCTGGATCTATTTGATACAAGAATCAGGAAAAGGAAAGAGAATGTCATACACTGCATAAACTGTGTTACCGGGGATTGACTTACATAGATCACATACCTTGAATATGTTATCAACTTTCATACGAGTGAACAAATTAATTATGTCCATGTGGTGAACTTTTGAATGAAAGTAGAGGTAGACACATTCATATTCATGCCTATATGCCTCTTGTTCTGCATTATGATAAATCTTCCATGCTGAAGTCAAACATTTATGTCATATGGATGCATATGCACCACATGTTTTGAATTTGTAGACATGAAGTTCGTATTTGTGAGAGCATTCACATAATTAAGGTTGACTTTACTTACCGCATATCTTATTCTTGCTATTTTCCTATGATTTTCTCGGAAGTGACTTTGTCATAGTGTTTTTTACCACAAGAATCTGTGTATACACAACTACATGCTTATTGGATGAAAAGAGTGCACCTAAAACCAAAATATGCACATTCACACTTGTCAGTGAAAAGACTAGCAACTGTTACTTGTATACTATTCATAATTTTTTAAATGGTATTGCACCTTCAGAAAGGTCTAATTAGAATCATGTTTTGGTTTATCCAGGTTGTTCGAGATATTCCCCCACCAATTCCTTTTGACATTCCAATGGTTCTTATAAAGCCTCAGCAGGCATGCTCCACAGCTGAAGTTTACAAGGTAATACTGATTTAAAGTCAGTAAACAAATAAAACACTAGCAATTACCATTTCCTAAAACCATCTCACTAAGTACGAATTTTTGATTTGTCAGCGTCTTCAATTGGATCAAACTAGTAAGATTGATCCTTTAACCTTACTGGAGAAGATCTCAAGAAATGGAATATTTCAAGATGTTTGTGTCAATGATCTGGGTATGAATTCACAACAAATATTCAGCATGCCTTGTGGATATGATATTTATTTATTTTGGTGTTTGATTAGGTTAGGGAGGTAAAAGGGCAGATTAATCGAGTAGCTTACCCAATATTGACCCTTTTGGCTGTGTTTGGTAGATTTATAAACAGGCTTGGTTCTAGTTACGCTGGTAATCTGGGTTAAGTGTGGGATCAGTTTTACAATTCTTTAATATTTTCAGGACAATCAGAACAACCCCTTCTGTGTCCATAGCTTAAATTTGCTATAACACCTTTCAAACCTGTTTGAAACTGGGGAAGAGTTAGAATGATTTGAGTTCTATTACTATTAAAATAGGTCTGGCACTATGGCAATGCCATGTTACTTCGAAGTCCAGGGTACTGTCATCTGACACGTTTTCATGTGCTCTTGCAGAACCTCCTGCATTTGAAGTGCTTCCATCTCTAAAAAGATTAAAACAACGCATCATTGCTGCAGGCCGTGGACAATTTGATGCTGTTTTTATGTCTGGAAGGTAAAAAGACATTTTGGGAAGGCCTGTTTAAAAATGTTAATCTGTGTCTTTATTTAGTACAAAGTTCAAGAAAATCCTAGTCTTCAGACTCTTCACACTCAAAGTGATTTTGATGAATGTTAGAGTTCATGAGCTAGTAAACCTTAGTTGCATATCATAATATTCTGCATTATCTTAGATTTGAATATGATTGTCAGTTGTCACCCAAAACATCTCAGACAACGAACAAATCTATTAAAATCTTGTACTATGTGTTGACACCCTAGAAAAAGGTGCAGCTGTTAATATCCAAGATAAAATTTTGAACCCAATTTTCTCAAGTACTGAACTCAACAAATGGTATTACAGTTACTTTACTGGCCATGCAGCCCTTATTTTGACCTAGCATTAGTCAGAATTGAAACTAAGAGATGAATGCTGAAAAAGTCTTATCTTTTAACAAGTATTGATAACTTCTCTTTAGCTTTTGGAACCCAAGGGGCTGTTCGAGAATCCCTTAATTTATTGTATTTTCAGCCATATCTGGTTCATGTTTGCTGTTTGGTTTGCTTCCTTTGATTGTGGGGGAATTTTCTCTTCAAAGGAAGCCATTAAGCATCGTGTTTTCATATGTAACCTTTTCTTTTCTTTCTTTTTTCAATTTTTTTGTAAGGTAAGTGGTGTGTTTTGAAAGCATTATGCTGGTGTAGTGATGGTGATCACGTGACACGGGGGTGGAAGGATCATAATTAATTTTTTATTTAGGCTTGATTTTAGGAATTAATTATGTAATTTTTTCCTGCACCATTTAAAGGTTAACAACATAGGTTGATGAGGTTTCTCTATTAATGACAAACATGTGATTCACATCCCCTAGTCAAATACCTGTTTAATGTAATAGAAGTAGTAGAAGTTGAAAACAATACAGGGTCAGACCTACCTTGGTGCGAAGTGGGACCAATGCCCTCTCCCCAGGTTTTAAAGTTTATTTGGTCAAAGGGATCCAGATGGAGACACAGTTCACTGAAATTCCTTCAGAAGAAAACTATCAACACTAAGTGAGATTCAAGAACGTAATTGTAAGACACCTACACCCCATTGTAGGGCATTATGTTGTCCATTTGTGGTCTTCTTTCATAATTATATAACTATACATTATTTGATTATTTAAGTCTTGAATCTTGTAGCGAATTGTCGGAAATTAAGATTCAGTCCTTCATTTTAAGTTGTTGTTTTATAATAAATAGGGCAACTATTAGTTTTAAATGTACAGGCATGTCTATTAATGTAAGAGTCATTGTAAGTGTGGTAGGTAAAGTTGAGTGTGTTAGGTGAGAGTTGAGTGTGGTAGGTAGATGTGAGTGTGGTAGGTGAATATGTTTTTCTCTTCTATATATAGGAGAGTCATTGTACACAACATATATAAATCAATAATACAATTCTCTATTTCTTTTTATACATCAATTTTAACATGGTATCAGAGCTATAAGATTTAGGTCTATATTCCTTTCTTTCCGGCGGGCAGCCGGCCGGCAACCATGCCTTCGCTGCCCGCTGGAGTTTTTCAACACCTCCACCTCCACTGCCTTCAATCCCAAGCTTACTTCCATCACACACAGTCTCAACAATATACCCACTCAAAAAAAAAAAAAAAAAAAAAAAAGCACCAAGAATCAACTCGATAAGGTCTGATGCAATCTGTTATCAGGCTCGCGATTGCAGAGATCTTCAGATGCAAACTGTCGAAGCCATTTTCTGGATCTTTGAATGCAGCCATTAATTCGGGGTCATTCAATATTTTGCTGTAGTCAACATTAGGCATTCCTCCCGGCATGCTACCGGGGAAACCGCCTGGCATGCCACCAGGAAACCCTCCAGGCATTCCGCCAGGAAACCCACCAGGCATGCCTCCTGTTCTTCTACTTGGAGATGAATGCTCTTGTTTCTTAGCCTTCTCATATGCAGCCTGAGCTTCAGCACGGCGACGATGTCTCTCACGTTCAATCTTTTTGTCCTCTCGTTCTTTACGCAACCTCTCATACCTCTTACGGTGTTCCTCAATTTTGTGAGCATTGGGTTCAACCTTCTTTAGTACGGCACCTATTTCCTCGTCATAGTCCAACTTCGATGCCAAGTGAAGATCCTTAGCAGCCTCTCCCCATTGACCAAGCATTGCCCGTGCCATGCCAAGGGATTTGTACCCTTTAGCAGAATCTGGATTGATCTCTAAAGCAACATTGGCATCACAGATAGCAGCATTCGGCTTCTTCATTTTGATGTAAACACTGGCTTTGGTTGCATACATAATTGCTGAGGTTGGGTTGAGCAAAATAGCCTGCGTGAGATGCTGTATTGCTTCCTCCAGTTTCCCTTCAGAAATTGCTTCCATAGCCTGTGCCTTAGCCTCCTGCGAAGCATCACGGGTTTCTTCCGTGACCTCAACAGAAGCATCTCCCATCTTTTGCGGGGGATCATTATCCGGCTCCACTGTTTCACCTTCAAGCTCAATATCAGATTCAATACCAGCATAGTTGGCACATCAGATTTTTCACCTCTATTGACCTTCACAGCAGACAAAGCTGATTCCAAATTTTGAGCAGCACCATGCTGAATCATTCGGTTCCCCACTACCCCTTTTCATTTTTAATTTATGTTATGTTTTTTACTTTTCCTCATCAGCATGTTCACACTCTCTTCAACTTTCTTTTCTTTTTTTTTTTATATATACATACATCTTTTGTTTATTATAATACCAACCCATCCTGGCAAGAGAGAGCACATGCATATGTGTGTTGTTTTTCTCTCTCCCATGTGACCCACCCACTGTGAAAGGTCACCCAATGCACACCATCATTCAACATGATCCCTGAAGACATCATGTTGTTCCCCACTTTCTTTATTTTATATATATATGTATAT